CGCCCAAACAGCAAAAAAACAACACCCGAAAAGCCCAAACAACAAAAAAGACCAGACAACAAACAAATAAACACGCTTACCAATAGTGTGGATGGAGTATCCCAGAGCTCCAAGGCAGCAAGTAGAAGTGCCGTTCCTGGTGATTTCAATCGGGGGTGCCGGGGCTGGATTACGAGCATTGGATTGCGTGGAAAAAGGTTGACGCCTGCAGCTGTAATTTGGGGGTCCTTGAGTAGGGACAACATGGAGCACAAAGTAGAGAAACTGCAAGATGGGCTTGTTGGATTTTATGCCTTCACCTTCCCAGATTCTGATACTACGAAGCAAAAATTTCGCCAGGGAGGCCCCATCATGCTAGTCAGTCCAGCTCCTGGGTGTGAAGCATGGCTTGAAGGTGTGTAAAGTATTCTGAAGAGGTTGCATTGCTCTGTTAATCTCTGATGTACACCGATGCATGTATCTCGATACCCGGACACCCTTGGTGATTGTCCAGATTCTCGTCTTGCCCTTCTGCATACTTGATGGTCTGCAGTCTTCTTCAGTACCTGGTGCGCTGTAACGGGAGCCATAAGACCCCTGAACTCCTGAGCCCCGAATCGGCTATACGCGCAACTTGCATACGATGAGCTAGCCGCACAATCGTTTCTACAGCTTTGCCCCCCCGCCCCAAAAGATTGAGAAAGGTTCTTGGCAGACTACGAGCAGTACATGGATTTCAAGGGCTTCCTGGGAAAGGGCGTCCACCACCAGGAGGATCAGACTCACAATTTCAAGGACGGAAAGCCCTTCGCATGTGTCTGGCTCGCATTTAAACAGGGGAAACTGGGGGTAAAGTCGAGACACAGGAAGAAAGCAAGAAAGAAGTCCGAGTTGTGGCAGTAGGCCGGGGTTGGCAGCAGAAAATGTTGGGAAGATGAACTTCAGGGAGGCAGCACATAACCCTTATATGATCCCTATATACCCCATTATTACCCCAATATACCCCCAGTGAAACTTCAACCAGATCCCGGAGGCTTAGAAGTGTCCGGTCACTCTTCTAAAAAAGCATTTTGGGAAGTAGAAAGTGGTGGTCAACTGGAAAATTAGGGTTTAGTGTTTAGGGTTTATGGTTAATGTGAGCAGGGGTTTTAGAGGGCCCTGGAAGCTTTGGTGGAAGCTGTGACCCGATCTCTTCAAAGAGCCTTGTCAGAGTGCATCTGAAGTCCTGCACGATTCACACCTCCCAAACAATAGATTGAACAAGCTGCCTCCCCCGAAGGGTACCTTTAAAGGGGTTATAGGGGTTATATAGGGGCATATAGGAGAAAACAGGGGTATATAGCGGATATAATGGGATAATGGAAAAGAAAACGGAAACCACTATTTAGGGTAGGGCTGACGAGGATAGGAGGGTCTCGCTGCGGGTTATGTTCATGTTGTTCGCTTGACTCAGGGAAGAACTTTACCAGAAGTACCCTCCTGGAAACTAACATGGAAACCCAAAAAGGGGCCCTATAAAGACTAGAGTCCTTTTAAAGGGGGGCTATATGGGTTTCCATGTTAGTTTGGGGGAGTGTATCTGGATGTCCTTTACAGTGGCTGCAGAAAGGGTTCCTGTCGAGGGCCGCTCTTCGGGTTTCACGCTTTGGCTCAGATGGCTGGTAGTCAAAATTATGGTCCCTTTTTGGGTCCCTATTATAATACGGCCCCTAATATTTAGAGTACCCAAAAAGGGACCATAATTTTGACAACCACCCAGATGGAGTGTGGCCGATCAGCCTTATCCCAATATAACCCCAATATACTACAGTAGTTTTCCTTTTCTTTTCCATTATCCCAATGTAACCCCAATATACTATAGTAGTTTTCCTTTTCTTTTCCATTATCCCAATGTAACCCCAATATGCTATAGTAGTTTCTGTTTTCTTTTCCATTATCCCAATATAACCCCAATATATACCCTATAATTCTACAATCCCTATGTAACCCCAATACCCCCAAACCTGAGAGGAGTTTCTCGACTTCGAGAAGTATCTGCAGTACACGCGCCAGAGCCGTGAACCCAGGTAGGGGTCAACTCTTGAGGAGTTGTATAGAACGTCAAGTTCATCTCGTTTCGCTTCCATGTGGGTCCGCGGCCCCTAACCAGACACCAAGAAAATTCACCTGCCCAGCGATTTTTGCTGCCTTGTTTTGCAGGGCAATCAATCAGCTTGAAACACCCGCCTTCAGTCAAGATCTACATGTCAGCAAGACCAGCAATCATGGTTCCTGGTCTTGAGAATGTCTCGGGTAAGTGGCCTCGAGTATGCAGTTCTTCAGCTGCTTCTGCTGTGGTCTTTTTATGGATGATGATTCAGACACCTTCAATCACTTGGACTGCAAACCCTAAACCCTAAACCCTAAACCCATATAATCCCAATATAACCCATTATCCCTGTATCCCTAACTTGGTGATTGGTCGCTCGACCAAGGCCATGTGTCTCTCCCGCCACATGCGTCTGCTAGCATTTGTTCGGGCGATCATGCGCCTGTCACTGAGGCGGTGGCCAGGGCGACTACAAGAACTACTACAGCACGGAGCTTGGGTGAACTACAGCTTGAATATAAGGATAATGGAAAAGAAAATGGAAACTACTATAATGGGGTAATATAGTATATAGGGATAATGGAAAAGAAAATGGAAACTACTTTGAAAGCAACACCCGTGATTATAGACCCTCCATTTTTTGGGGGCACCTTGCGCAGAACCTGTGGGCTACGCAGTTTGGACTCCTCAGTCAATGCCAGCTTTGGGCCCGCATGTGCCGGCGTTGTACTATGGTAGGTTGGGAGAGGTTTGCCCGAAATCGCGGAGTTGTAGATACACATATGATATATAGTCTAAACTCCTAGTATCCCCGTCGTTAAGTAGTCCAACCTTTAGGGAGTTTGGATTATAGCTCATATGATATATGGAGTTTCATGGACTCTCTGGAAATAATCCCTGAGTGATCCATATAGGAGTTTCCCAAAATTAGGGGTACCCTTTTCGGTGTCCCTTGTATAAGGATTATAATGCATTGGGCCTTTATTGGGGCCCCCCTATTTAGGGAAGCTGCCATATCCCCTCAGGGCTCACTCCTCTTCTGTGAGCATAGCTTGGGTTTTTAGGGTTTAGGGTTTGCCATTGCGAGGTGGCGTCCAGTTCGATGCCGCGCCCGCTTCCGGCTGGGTGCTAAGTAGAATTGTTACTACTATTGCTAAAGCAGTAATAAGTAGTACCATATTAAGAAATATTACTGGTATTATTACCATTCTCACTGTGTTTATTATTCTTGTTATAATAACGATGATTATTTACGATGATTATTTATAATATTCTTATTAGATTCAGGTGGCAGTTCTTGGCGATAACGGGATTCCCAAACAATTCCAATCGCCACATGTTGCTTAGCGAAAGACAAAACAGCAGGGTCAGATGGCATTATTCTCGACATATTTGTGCTTCGAGACGTTAAACCCAAAACTCATACACCCCTAACCCCCAAAAACCTTACCCCCAAAACCTCTAAAAACCTAAACCCTAAACCCCTAAACCCAAAAGGGTTGCACATTGGATTCTTGTTCTCTACGTGCTGCAGGGTATACTATTTGGATCCTGATAGCTTTCGGGTGTACTTGAGGATGGCAGGAACCTGAATACTCTGTTAAGGGGTTTAGGATTTAGGGTTTAGGGGGTAGGGACCTGAGTACCTTGCTAAGATGGAAGCTTTACTGAAGTACCAATTGGGGGGTTCTCCCAAATTGGGGGTACTGTTTTGGGGGTGCCTATAATAAGAACTATAGTATTTTGGGTCTAAAATTGGGGTCCCCTCATTTTGGGCAAGTATTAAATGAGCTCCCATCATCTTGGGGCGGTGACTTCAAGCCGTACGGCACATAGGCTTAGGTACTGTAGGGCTGTTTCTAGGCCTAGGCTTCGCCCCTGCTATGGTTTGTCGTAAGTTCAGCGGTGAATCTGTGGCATTTGCCACAGGCCTGCATGAAGTGAAGCCGAGCATAGGTATCCCCGTGACTATGCTGCGAAAAGTTGAAAATGTGCAATGATTCCGTATTGCATGTTCCTTCAACTGCTCAGGCTGCATTTCTCAGAGCTCCACACATTTCTTTTGCGAGAAAGGTTCCATTGGACACAGCTTGGTACATATTCTCTGGCCGGCCATTGCAGAACTTTGCCTGCGGGACGCTCCTGTAGATATATGAGCTGCGGGTCCATTATGGAACCTTGCTACCCAGCCCTCATCCAACCTACCCTGAGGGCTACAAGCAGTGTCCCCACGAATGCCCGCAAAGAAGCAGGTCCTCAACGCAAGGCATCCTCAAGAAGCAACTTCTAGAAGGCATAGTGCGGGCTGTGGGAGCAATTCCTTTTATATACCCCCAAACAACTGGCTCGAGGTACTGCTGACATTGCCAGTACTCGTGTTGGTACCTGTATGGTAGCAGCATGAGTAGTAGCAGTCGCAGTCGCAGTTGCAGTAGCAATAGCAGTAATGGGGGTAGTAGCAGTGCTACCACTATCAGCTCGCAACTTTTGAAAGCTAGAAACCTGCTTATCCCTAGATACCTACAGAACCACCACGTATCCCTAGAACCCCCAAAAATCTTTTTGCATTCGCCATCTTTTCAGGTGGTGACGGATCTGGAGACACGGACGGATCAGACTCAGGCGTCTTGGGGGCATGCAGGGAAGGGATCTGTTTTTCTGCGAGGTTATATACGGGTGATATCAGGACAAAGAGTGATATACAGGGTTTGGGGATTGTGGTAATGAAGTGGAAGGCCAAATCTAACATGTTATGGAAGCAGGGGCTTCTGTTAGGGATTATGGGGGTTGTAATGTAGAGGCCTAAAGAATTATCAGTATGATTCGGGCTTAAGATTCGTTTCGGGATAGTATCCCAACAGTGGAGAATCAAATGGAAAGAGCACAGAAACTGAAATAGAAGACCTGGAGGCGGAAAAATTACCAATTTCGTGGTCCTAGGTTCCTTCACGTAGAGTATCTAAAATAGACCCCGAATTGATGTTGTTATTTGTTCTGGCCTACAGCAGGCTTGAATGTCGGCATGACTTGTTTCAAGGTTTTATGGGGTGTCAAGGCATTTAGGGGGTGCTACGGATTTGAGGTCTTAAGGGTTTGGGGTTTAGGGCTTTGGTGTTGCTGGACTTTGTTTGGGATGGGCTTTGGTTCAGGGTTTGCAGTGCGTGCAGGGTTGCATTGCATTGCTTCATCAGCGGCTGCTTTCACGTGGGTTTTAGGGGAAAAGGTATAATATAGGAGCCTAAATAATCACCATTATTATGGTTGCATATTCCTTGTATAACTATAGTATATGGTACCTCCAATGGACCTCAGCATGATATTGGTCATGATTTAGGCCCCCTGTAGTAGTCCTTCTCTTGGTCCCATTCAAGAGTCCAAGTGATCGAGGCCATGTAGGATTGGAGCTTAAATAGCTACCCATGAACAATATCATTTTCAGGCTAAATTTAAGGTACCCTGTACCATAGCTGTACAGGAATCTAGAAGCACCAAAGCAGGGTGACCTTGGGGATAGCAAGCGCACTTGGTAGCGTGTCCTAACATTCCATCTATTTAGGGTTTAGGGCTAACACTCCTCATCCGCGATTTCTTTGTTGGTTAGTTGAGTAGACGGCATACAGATAGCATAGAAGCATGAAGAATAAGCAGAATAGGATACAGTACTCCAAAACTCTATTCTGATTACACAGGCCCCTACTGCAAGTAGTCCTACGGGGGATGGAGTAAATCTTGCACCACCCTATATGCGTCCCATGCCGGGAATCACAGTATGATGAACGTCCCTGGTGGTGCAAGATTTTCAATCAAATGGCACAGTAGGTTCCACTTTCCCTTCCCATTATTCGCATAATGCCGCGCCCTACAATCATCCCAAACCCGACAGACCCTATTTCAAGCTTATTTACATATCCTCATATGCTAGCGCCTATAGACAAGTTTGACGTCTTGCCACATGCCTCGACCCTGCCTTCATTAATACCTTAAGTCCTTGATATTGTTGATGGACAACATCCTGCATGACCTTATATACTTAAAACCCTAGGAAGTAGGTTATCATGGCATACTTTGAGTCAGGCAGGATGTTGTCCATCAACATCAGGGCTCAGGTGTCGTCTACGGAAACCCATTTTGTTCAGCATTACGCTGTAGCCCCTCTACAGCCCGAAATAGATTAGTTCTCATCTGCCCTAAACCCTAAACCCCTAAACAACCTAAATTGCAGATTCCAGATTCCGGCTTCCCAGCCCCTAAGACCTCAAGACAAAACCACTGAACTTTGCTTAGGCATGCCAAGCATGGGGGGTGGAAGCTTTGGCAACTTCGTGAAGGCCTCAAATGCAAAAAAACTGGTGGTACCGTGTTGGATTCCCTGCAAGGGGAGCCTCAACGCCTTCTCGAGTGCTTACACTTGCCTTGAATGGGTTTCCAAACGGCAATTCAAAGGATAAACGCATATAAACGCGCTTCTGAATTCCGAATTGTGATGTATATTCAGATGCGTCTTGGAGAGTAGCAATCCATCCGATGCTTTCATGGGGACTTTATAAATATCACATAGTCTCTCCAAAGCTCCGCATTAGGAGATTTGAGCTTTGGACGTTGTTCGGGCCTAGCCTACAGAAGCATGCGCTTAGAAGTCCGCGGTTCAGGCACGCATGTCCATGGATGGGCCGCCAAAGGATAGATGCGGGGATGAATAGGTTGGGTGATCTTGTTGGATGCCCGCTGAACCACCACAATGTGCATTTCCTGCATGTTATTGATTGATTTTTTTGATATGAGGAACTCACGAATGAGTTCTACAAAGACTCATCTGGAATTGGATGTTGGCTCCTTCTAGGACTGCATTCCTTGTATGGTTCTGTTTCTAGCCCCTCATATAGCTTGAGAGTTGAAATCCCCCAAGATACAAGCGCAGCACATCCGCATTACCAGGAAGGGTGAGGAAGGCCTGCCGGGTCTGTGCTGGGCGGCAAAGCGCTGTACCTGTAGGGCTTAGGGTTTATCGTTTAGTCATCACCTCATGCAAAGACTTCGCTTTTGGATCATGTACTGTGAAGCTGATGTTCTGTGCTGTCCTGTAGGTTCAAGACCACAGGCCATTGGTCATCTCAATGTCAGGTGACTGCTTGCTTGTAGCTTTTCCTGCTTTAGGGTCTGATAAAGGGGAAAGGGGATGTTAGCCCGAGGGGCATGATTGATAGGAATCAATAAGAATCAGTTACATAGTAGTTTTCAGCGCTTTTCCATTCTCATCAGATTCAGGCCGCACCAGAAAAACTCGAAGAATTCTGAGGTGCCCGCTGGAACCACGGATGGCGGTCCTAAAGGCCTTCTTTTCTTATTGGGGGGGTCCAGGCGGGAATAAGGGAATATATTCTGTAGGGTTGAGAGTTATGTAGGGATTATATTCTCTTATTCCCTAAGAACCACCAGTAAGCTTTAGCGCTTGCATTAGTTCTGCATTCCATTTGGTTACCATCGGTAATAAGTCCCGATAACAGCTCTGAGATGCCGAGTCTTCAGTTCATGTTCCATTCCCTTCCCATCTGATTCTCCGTTATTGGGTCAATATCCCTACATCCAAGAAAGATTGTTGGTTCCTTGCTCTTGTCCATTATCCCCCTATGGCCAGTATATGACCCTATGGTATCCGTATATAATTGTTTTTCCCTAAGCCCCTGGGGTGTCCTTGAGAGAAGCTTGGGATGACTGGGGGAGGAGCGTGTTGCTGGAGACTATCTAGGGGAATACAGGTTCAGGTTACCAAGAACGGAGAATCACATCAGAGATATCAAGTAAGGCCCTATACAAACTTGGCATCAGGTCCAGGGCTGGCATTCTGCTGAACATCTTCATGGGTTATTCTCAAATCTATGGGCCCCTTTATTTGGTTGTTATAGATTATATTACGGCGCCCAATATTTAGGGGTACCAAAATGGGATCCTAATTTGGGGAGCTCATGTCTGCGGGTATTGGCCGCCAGAGCATGGCGGGGAAGAAGGGCCCGCTTAGGTGGACCCCGTACCCGGTAATAGAATAGGGTTCAAGGTTCAGGGTTTAGGGTTGGACCCCCTGCCCAGTATTTGTGACTATCAGGGATAATAAGGATTATAGTAGGGTCCTCTTATATTCTTTTTATAAATTTTGTTTGCCATTATAACAGGGTGGGGGATCCTCCTAACGTCGACTATTGTCACTGCGCAGCTAGCCCTTGCCCCAATGGTCTTGCAAATCTATCTGGAGTAAGGAGAGCCTGAGTAAAGTACTCAGGATATTTGTCACGCTGCTTCGGCAGATATGGTGGTTTCTCAAATAGGGGGACCCCAATGTAGATCCCAGTATACTATAGTCCTTATGATAAGGACCCCTCCAAAAGGTACCCCTAATTTTGGGAAACCCTAATCCCTAAACCCTAAACCCTAAATAGTAGTTTCCATTTTATTTTCCATTATCCCATTATAACCCCTATATAACCCCAATATAACCCTAATACTACCCCAATATAACACCAATATAACCCCATTCTTAATCAGCATCGATCAAGGGTTGGCGAAGCCAGATAGAGCCTCAGCTGCCTTGCGTA